CATAATTCAAAGCCCTCAAGCAATTTAGCCCAAGTATATTCATTGGATGGGCCAAATTTATGCAACAGAATAATATTGGACATGTATGGTTGACGTTGGCCATACTATCAGCATGATGCAATATTTTGTTTAAAATTCTCTTTAAATTTGGTATATATAGTAAATTATCCAAAAAAAAAAAAAACCTAGAATATAGTGAAATTTAATCATTTTAAGTTGTACCCGTTATTTAATTATTGATATAGTAAAATTTAATCATGTAGACAATGAATTGAACCATATATGCATAACAAAGCAAAACTAAACTTATAGAATTAGTGACAAATGATTTTGTCTATGATATATATAAATATAAAGAGTTATTGATTACCAAAGATTACATAAGTAATTATTATAGAGGAGAAAATAGAGCTAAGAGCACTACCTAATTATGTATCCAAAGCATTTGAGAAGTCTCATTTGATATTTCAGCTTCTGGAGAAGGAAGATTAATTAGTCATGAATCTACCCCAACCATGTCATCGATTGTCAAAGCAAACATTATAACGCATTAGAGTCTAACTAGTCTTACATCTTTGCCCATCTGTGCCATCTTCCTTTTCTACCATGAGCAAAATCCAATAAAAATATATTGAGAGAGTCACAAAGACTCCTAAAAAAAAAAAAAGACTTCCACAAAATAAGAGAAAATTTCAAAAGAAGAAACTCTCATATTTACTAATGCTTTCTAACTACCAAAAGTAATAGAGGCAACAGTTAAAAATAAAGCAAGAAGAAAGGGGATCGAAGGGATGAGAGAGAGAGAGAGGTGCATGGCTAAAGTTTATATGCTTAAGTAATTAAATCTATATTTTATACACTTTTATATTATTTTTTACTTTATATAAAAAAATATATACATATAAATTAAAGTACTTTAAAAAAATAAAAAGTAACGTTGCACATTTAACGTTCCGAACGTAAAAATAATTAAAAAAACCTCATATAGAAACAATATTCACTTAATTAATTTTTTAATTTATAATTAATACATTTTACAAATGATTTGATTACAAAATCTTTTATCATTTTATGAAAGGACGAAAGTCCCATTGAACTTACAAAGTTACTATTTTTTGATTCTAAGGAACTGAATCTAGACTGCGTTATAAGAAACGAAATGTAATATGAAATAATTAAAAGTCCTCGAGCAATTAGTTCGACAAGTCTACACATTGGATGGAGCAAATTTATGTAATGGATTAGTTTTTGAGCCTCATTGACGTCGGTCATATAGGAAGCATGATGTAGTGGTTCCAATCCTAGTACATGGTAGAATTTAATATTTTTAAATTGTTAACAATTTGTCACAATCACATTCCTTCATTATAACTTTAGGAATGGATGATATTCCATTCTAACCTCTTACCTTGTCAATTAAATAGTCAACCACATCATGAATGGTCTGCCACTTAAATTTTTAAGTTGTTTTAGAATTTTATTTTTTAATTTTTATTATTTATTTTATAAAGTAATTTGATTAAAAAAACTTTAATTAATAAAATATTTAAATTTTTATTTACTTAAAAATTTTAATTTTTAAATATTGAATTACATATTCTCTTTTTTATATTGTGTAATTCTTTAAGATAAAAAAAGGTAGTTTTGAATAGACAAAT